TATTGTCATCATCCGCTGTCTTCTGTCTGAGAAGAGATGCCTCCTCGTGAACCTCCCAGTTTTCCTCATCTTCACCTCCAACATGACCCACTCTCGTAATAACTCGGCAAAGTGTAGGTAAACGACCCAAATCCAGGTTCTTCAAAAGGAAACACATACGGTAGACTATGAGTGAAAGGAGTTGAACAATGCCAGCAGTAGTGAAGAAGTAGTCAATGATGACATTGATTTCAGGCTCCATCTGGCCAGTGTACAGTTTAGCCAGTGAGTAAAGGGCGAGATTTGAGATGATTGTTACTTCAAATGACGTCACGTACCTACTGCGATAAAACCCCATCACATAAGCGCTCATTTGTAGGAGGAAAATGGCTAAGAGTGATGTTGCCAGTAGAACGGTAAGCCGATGACTAGAGTTCGGAGTAAGGGCCAGAATTATATGAATGAATGCCCTTGATAACAGGAGAACCCCAATCCAATAGCACTGTTTGTCTTTCAGTGGACCATAATAGGCATCCACGATTGGCTTCATTCGGAACATTGCACGAGAGATGTGTCGATTTTCACACTTCTTTAGCCACTGTCCTAACAGCAAAACCATTGTGTAGGGAACGCACAGCAATACTAGCATTACTACTGCCACCAAAAAGAGGGGTAGGTGCTCAGCTCCGAGGTATTCAACGTTAGCATCAGACGACCACACCATTTTCGTGGTGTTGGCATACTCAACATAAGAGTACGATATGATGGCTATGCAAGTACGTAGCAGTTTTGTGTAGGAGAGCAGGAATATTGTGGCAAGGAGAGAGACTGGATTAGAGCCCATCATTTTCGCCAGTCTGTTGCTGTATCTTGCCAGGACTATGACGACTCCTGAGATGGTCCACAGGTAGAGAGGAAAAAGGAACTGGAGCCAAGTTTTCCAGTACGGCGTGAAACCATCGATGAAACAACTCTCGATGCCAAAATCAAGATTGGTCCAGGCAACGGTGATGGTAACAAAGCTGTTGAGGCCGTTTGGTAGCACAACTCCCCAGGTAGGTTGAATGGCATTAAAGTACAATGCCAACCCGTTGATGTATCCGCTAGAGACAGTGATATCAAGAGCTTTGATGGCAAACACCAACACCAACCCAACTAGTGCAATCGGAATGAGGAGAGAGATGTAGCTGTTGGAGCAGCGGAGGCACCGGTTACTCCCCAGAGCAACACTGTAACCTTTTCGGCACCCTCCACAAAGAACACCAGAGTGATTGTAGTTGCACTGAAGGTCAAGATCACCAAGAGTTACATTCTGCGGAATGTCTTTACAAAACGAGAAGAAACAGTACTGTGAAACCACAATGTATCTGTCATCAACCATTCCAATCCAAGAGGTTCTACTTCTTTCAAATGTCTGATTCTTTATGTAGCACTGGACTCCTGGTAGCCGACTTAGCTGTGGGCTACACACACATTTGTATGGAGACTCAGAGAGACTGAACCCAAGTGGACATGGTGAGACAGAGATATTGATGTAGACGGGAAAATCAAGCAGTTCTTGTGGGAATCGTCCATTACCACTCTGGAAGGTTTTGTATTGTTCTAATGCACTGCGGACACTGTTGTTGCTCACAACTTGCACCTGAGCTGTCTCCACAGCAGTCAGGACCAGAACTGTGCTGTGAGTGGGAGCTGCGAGGATGGAGTAGGTTAGCTGATTGCAGTGAGTCTGAACCACTGACTGGCTGTACTGCCACTGCTCTAGTCTACTACTGTCTACATCAGAAGGCAGGAATTGACCGTAGACTGAGCCGGCCCCTGCCCCAAAGTCCTGCCCCACCACGACTGCCTGCAGGGAAATGCTCTCTCCTGGATGCACCGTGTGACTGTAGAAGATTCTCAGACAGTCGGGTTGACCAGTGGAGTTACAGAGGCACACTCTTGAAGGCTGAGAGGTAATGACGGACATTGTGTTAGTTTGGTTTATTACTGAGATTTTCTTGAACTGTTGGAGACAGTTTGAACCATCAGCAGTAGTGGCTAACCCCATATGACCACCATACACCACATCACCACCACTACCAGCAGAGTTGTTGATAAACTCAAGGGTTGTTACGCCTTCCCTCCCCATCTCAATCATGCATACTGAGCTGATGTATATTGCTCCCGAGTCAGTGTTAGAATAAAAAGTGTCACTCTCCACAAACAAGGCACCGCCCACAGTCGTAGCGTGATTACCAACAAAGACCACTGAAGCTTGTTGCGCTAATGTCAGTACACTCTTCTGCTGCAGTATCATTGCTGCTCCCAGTACTGCCGTGTTATTGGCAAACAGTACAGACCCAGAGAGAGTAAGGTTTGAAGCAATGGCCTGCACTGCCGAAACAATGTTTTTGGCAAAAACACAGTTACTTAAATGTATGTCCGTTGAGTAATAGAGAAATACAACAGCTGGGTGGGCAGTTATGTCACCTTCTGGAATTCCAAGTTCAATAAAACGACAATTTTCAATCGTAATATTACTACTCTTGTAAACTGACATCGCAAATTTGACTTTGATGGCCATTATTGTTACGGAATTGATGTAAATATCAGTGGCATCACTAATCACAACAGAAGAATTGATTGTGATATTGTGTAATAATACATCAGATGACGATGATATTGACACAGCATTAGTAGAGTCATTGATGGTGGTGATCGCAATAGTGGAATTCAGTACTTGTATCTTGGCCGAGTTGAATAGCTCAACACCAGAGATCGAATTGACCACTGTTACGTTCTGCAGAGTTGTATACTTTGAGTCCAAGACTAACAGTGATTGAGATCCAATAATGTAAATGTCAGATATGTGACAGTTCCTGCTGAGCACACAAACAATACTGTATATAGCGTAATCTACATGTACTGTAATGTTTTGAATACTGGTTTTATATGTGTTTAACAATCCTATGGCAGCTGATGTAGGAAGTGGAGTGCCTAGGTTGGCAAAAAATGAATTGCGAATGAAGTTGTTTGTTGCACCTCGAAGTTCAATTCCATTCTCTTTGCAATGTGTTGCATTGGCACCAAGTATTGTAGTATTGCGCCCAAACTCTATTCTTATGCAGTGACCATCTGTATTTCTTATGCTCACGTGCTCAAGTATCATGTCAGTTCCTGATCTTGACGATATGCCAGCATTGATGGAGTTCATTACAGTTGTATTGGAGATAGTCGTAATAAGCGTATTGTTTGCAAACATCTGGGAGTAACTGAGTGTCATGTTGTTGAGAGACGTGTTTTCCGTATTTTGTAACACAACTGCACCGTTGAGGGTTGTTGAGTTGTTAATTGAACTGGAAAGGGTATGGTAAAGAAAGAGTCCTGTAACGGTGCAAAGTTTGGCGGTAATGCAAAAATTATCAGTCTGAATGAGTTTCACATTTGTAACAAGAATCTTTTCACTCTTCTCAAAACTGATTCCATTTATTGAAGATGTTTCATTGTAAGGCGATCCCTGGACTGATAGGCCATTGATAGTGATTGTTGACACATTGATAAACTGAAAGGTAGAGCACTCACTACACACACTGTAAATTGGGAAATTTAGTGTGCACCCACAATAATTGGCTTGGGTGAAGTCAACTAGTGGCTGTTGATAGTTATCCCCATCATAACTTTCTAGAGTTACATTATGTGCACCTGTTATAACAACGGGAGAGGATATGTTATGTTTTCCACTCAAGAACCAGAATATAGAGTTGTTGTTGGACTTGAAATAATACTCGGTGCTGTTGATGTATTGAGCAAGTGTAAGACATGGTTGACCAGGACATGACCTGTTGTTGGCTTCATCTGTTGGCTTGACAAAGTAGTCAGTCGCCACTGACACTCTCACCAGGACATAGAGCAGCAGCAGTTGTAAGGAAAGACTAATGTGCACTGTAAAATATAGGTCGGTTGTAAAAAAAAACACTAACAGTAGCAATACAAGTGTCATGCATTGCACCCAAGGGATGGCAGCAAAATGCTTTAGAAGGTGACTAGCATGCTAGGTATTTAGCTAAAAGTTTATTCATAGCTAGTAGCATTCCCGCATCATGGATACTGCATAGGCCATCCGCACACGAGCATATACGAGCGAGCGCGTTCGCTGGTGCCCGTCGAACGCAATTAGCAACATGTTTTATTCCCTTGCTCATCGTTCTGGTATGAAGTGCCGTTTGTCTCAGAGCTACTTCAAACTTAAACGTCGCGTGAATTTACGCAAATATCGCGAGAATTTAGCTAAACTTCGTGTGTCGTGTGATTCCAGCAATCGTTGCACGACTTTAGCTAAACTTGATTTTCAGCGCTAGACGCCGCAGAATTTGCATCCGTTGTAGATTTTTAGCTAAGTGCGCGTTACTCTACTATTCGTCTTACGATTTTTAGCTAACGTCGACGACCAATGCTAAATGCATTGGTTTTTAGCTGTAGTAATACCCTTTTAGCTAAATGCAACGATGGAGGCTAAAGTCGTGCGACGATTGCTATAATCACACGAGGTTCAGCTGCGATATTAACGTAAATTCACACGACGTTTAGCCAAAAACGTTGTTCTGAGACAAACGGCACCTCTGTTTGCGAATGTAGCGAGTTAAACGTAACTTCTATATCTCTGAATGTGGTTGGTGAGAATACTCGTATACAGCTACAGCTACGCAGACGCTTATTTTAGCTTCAGCTATAAAGCTATATAGGTCAGTAGGCGAGATGACGACTAACACCCGTAAAAAACATTATAGTCCACTCACTGATTTGTCAGTCACTTTCTTCTTCAGGCCAAACAACCGCTGTCGTAGGCAAGTGGCTGTCAGGTCGGACGCAAGGGCAACCAAAGCGCAATGTCCGATAGCAGACGTCGACCAGTACACTGCTTTTGTCTCAGTAAGAGTATATAAAAGAGTGGGGTCACGCATGATAACCTGAATGAAACTAAAAGTTGACAGTCCATGTGGATACATCATGCATGTCTGATGCTTGTGGCACAAAGTAGGAAAGGTTGAATTTAGGTGCCTTTGCCTTAGGTTAGTAACAGATGCATGTGTGATGATTATGATTGTAGACATGTAGCTAGCTAGCTACTGCACGTTTTTTTTCAAGAAAGAGATTCCCTAAAAATTGCCCAACTACACTTCGCCCAAATCATTTCTGCACATGGAGCAAACTCACATGATGGCTATTACACAAGTAAACTGGCTATGCTTATCAAGGCTTATTGAGTGTTTATCTAACTGCCTAATAATTCCTTCACATTCACACGTTTAACCTACGTGTCCCATCAGGGGCATTGGCTGGATTCCATAAAGGGGGGGGGGGGGTTATTAACGGGTGAAAAGCTGTACACTCACGCGATATCAAGACTCATACGCTTATGTTTGATGATCAAAATAAAATAAAATTCAAATAACATTCTGCGGGGATGGAGTCTGGAAAAGATGGTAGATATATAGCTAACTTTGCCATAATTAATTTCCCTGCTGTAGTGCACATGTAAAAGTGCAAGACCAGTAAGTCTAGATTGTCCCATAGTTGAACGAAAGGAATGCCTTTAGGCGGCCAAGGACACTAATGCTACTTTCGCAAATGTTGTGACTGGGAGAGTGAGGATAAGCATGTTAAAACTATGAGGTAGAAAGGCAAAGGCACAACAAACAAATCAACTACACCTAGGACAGCTCTTTTTTCTAGGGAAAAATAAAGAGCTAGCAACCAATCCACATTAGTGAACGCACGCGGCATGGGGGGCATGGGGGTGGGGCTCAGATCGCACGCACGCGCTTGGAGTCACGCCGGCCTCCACGAGGCGTTATAGTCGTGCGCATGGGTGTCACGAAGGAAAAACGATCTGGTTCACGACGTCGGCAACTATCTCCACAATTAGCTGAAAATGGGGGTTTCTGGGAAACCTGGAAACTCCCCTGTCTACGCGCCTGCCCATACTCCTTTGACTTTCTTTAAAAACATCTGATTCCTACAAAAAGAAGACTCGAGGGAGTTGCACTGCAAACAAGCATGTCATCTGTCGGTCCTTTTTTGGCAGATAGAAAGCAAAAGTAATCTGCAGTGTGTAACACACCAAAAAACCTGTAAACAACTGGTCTCGTAAACAAAGTTGACCTGTAGTCGCCACCATGCATGGTCATCATGTCGAGACAAGGACTAGATGAATGTGTTATCCACCACTTTAGTGTAGGTAGCTACTCCACCTTTTCTGCATTACCATCCATGTTTTAGTATACTGATAACCCAACTACAGCATTAAAAATGTTTAATGTCAGGGTCATGTGTCTTTTGTCATTCGAAAAAGAGTCTGTGTGTTTGTAATGGAACATTCAGTGAACAGCCAATGGCCAGCAAGTCATCCTAGCATCTGTCATCAGGACTTGGAGACGGCCTTAGTAAACATCTGGTGCACCTAATTGCACAAGGTAGCTATGTATTGCTTACCACAAGGGTCACTGAAATTATGACGAGGAAATGTACCTTTGATTATGGTTGAATGAAGATGTTCTCCTTGATTAGCTAATTGAACACTACATTGTAATAATATGTAACGGATCTACGCATGCCACTCTTTTGTTCTATTGAATACTGCCTTTTTACGTGTCTATCACACCCATCACAGTGCCACAGAAAATTTGATCCCTTTAGCTTTGAAATTGATGTTAGCTATAGTTAGCAACCAGCTGTGCCCTGTGGGCCTAACGTTATGTAGAATGATCATTACCCCTAAAGGACACAGGATCAGTTGACAATTCATGGGGTTGACCTTCGAATTGAGTGGATAACCTGTACCTACTACTACTGATAATCTATTCAGTGGCAGATCCAGGGGGGCTCCTTTGGTTACTGGGAACCCCCACTTTGTCGTTAGCACGCATGCGTCGCCGGCCACGTGTGCACGCACGAGCGACAGTGAAACCCCCCTTTCAAAATCCAAGATCCGCCACTGCTATTTCGGGCGTATGGACTGTGAACGGGAAGTTGCAACGGGAATAAGAGCGCGGGGAACAGGAATGTAGCTTTCCGAACCTCGTTATTATAGCGTGATCCGAGACGAAGGAGGTGATCAATGGGGCGCGAATGAACGTAGTAAAATCATGAATCATTGTGTGGCCTTAGCTAGCTATGCATGTAAAGTAGCGGGTTCAGTTCCACCTCCATACCACCCCGTAGTTGGAAGAGTTTCTCTCCCTTCACAAGACAGGAATAATGGCGGAAAGTTCCACTGCAGAAGAAAGTGAGATTTGCCTATCTACTAGCTTAGTATACAGCAAGGTCGGTCACACAAGACGTCATGTTGTGTTATAATTCCGTCATTTCATGGAGCAGGATTCAAAAGTATATACGTACCATGGACACGTCTATTAGTTAGGTGGCTATATTCTGGCTAACTATACTGCTGCTATATACCATATATCAATTGACTTTGACCATCCACAAAGCTATAGTCTCGCTTGCCAGACCTGCGGGGAGTGTCGCGCTACACGGAAAGTGAAACAATGCGCGGTATATATGTTGCGCTATATACACCGCACCCATATGGCAATACCAGCGTTGACCCGAAAAGGTTACCATGTTCTATTTTACAGCGCGAATTACTGCCAGCAGTTTCGTAAACGCGCACGCATAAACCTGACCTGGCCTCAAAACGGCGACATGCATTGTGAGTGAGGAATGATAGCTTTGATAACAAAATACTATTCATTAAAGGGTGAACGATCTTTCCTTTGATATACACTAGAGGAAACCAAAAAAATAAAGCACTGAATTAAGCTGTTGCACCTTGCACCTGCACCGAGAGCTGGTATTTCCCTTTGATAATACTGTCTATTACATTGAACAATAGATGTTCTTCTGAGTCCATTCTATGTGATGAAAGTAGTGAAGGATGTTGAGAAGTGGTGGGGTGCAGGGTCACTATCCAACTGGCTGTACATACCCAAAGCTCACCAAAATGATATCCGGGTCCAATTTTCGGATGTAAAGGAGCAGAAGAATGAAGCTCTATCATACTGGATCTACAAGGATCCCCTAGCCAGCTGGAGGAGGCTTATTGTTGCCCTGGAGAGGGCAGGGGAGTTTGAGAAGGCTGACTCAATAAGATCCAATGCTGAACCCCTTACTGGTAGGTTAAGATACTTTTCGATAGACGTAATCAGACACCATCAGATTTTCACAATAAGTTGGCTTTATACGATGGAGTTATTTTTAAGGTGAAAATGTAGTGCCCCATACCTACATTGGGGAAAAGCCATGTGTTTTTTGGCGTACTGATCAGTCATACTTCAGTGCTATGTAGCTATCACGTGATGAAAGTCTTTCAGACCTTCTTCCTCCTTAACTTTGTGCGCAAAAGGTTACGCGCATATAATTATTGTGCGGTATATAAAGGGAGAGAAGGCCTGGAATCAAAACCACAATCTGTTATTCTCTCCTCTTTTTTTACTTTACAGATGTCAGCCTTACAACGCGATCAGTCATGCAGGCCTTATCATGTGTCACACAGTTTTGGGGTGGTGGAGTTGTTGATTACCTTGGCCTCACGTGGTCAGTAATGGATCGCTTAAGGTATGAAGGAGAATACCCGTGTGAGCAGGCAAGGAAGGAGGCTGCTATTGAATACTGCCTGAAAACGCAACCTGGGATGTCATGGGGCAAGATAGCTGGAGTGTTATGGCAGCTGAAGGAGAAGAAGGCACTGGAGAATGTCAGGAAATACCTACCATCCCCACATGGTAACCACTCCTTCCTTCTCTAGTAACTAAGATAGAGGAATAATGCAAGCAGAAAAGTAGTAAAGTGTGGTGCAGTATGATCAACATTGCCACACACACAATGTGCAATAACAAACACCATGTTTACCTCTATTAATAAGGGCATTTTTAAAGATCTCAGGGTTAGGATTTCAGCTAAAATATTATTTTGTGTATATAATTGTGAAAGAGTTTGTCGACCTTTACAGTATTATTTGGGCATCATCCCAGATCTGAGGGTTACTCACCTGACACTCAGTGCAGAAGTTGAGTCTCGTCTGCCAGAGTCACTGTGGGATCAGTTTTGTTGGAGGATGAATGTGCCAGATTGCACACAGAACATACTATGATCCCAGTACCCCAGTGATAAGGAGAGGAAAGCGGAAGTGGTAAAGGTCATTGCCGCAGAACACCCTCATTTGGCAAAGGAGTGTGTGCTAGATGTCCTCTACAGGACAAACTCCCTCGAGCCCAGCAGTAGACAGGAAAGTTTGCCCTTCACTTGTAAGTATCTTAGTCTCTCCTTCACTGCTCTTGCTTACCGTTTAATTTGTCTATAGGTGATGGGACAGAGCCTACTAAGAATACACCACAATCGGTGCATCATCACCCTGGTACTCAACACACTAGCATGGAAACCAATATATTAGGTCAGTATCTGTGATGTGGATATTAAAAAGACTAGCTGTATAAAATTATTGTGTTTGCCACAGGCATTGAGCATCATTTTGAAGTGATAAGTGCAATTCAAGATGTGGCAATCAGGTGGAAGTCCCTGGGAGGAGCTCTGGGACTCCACCCACCTGTCCTCGACAGGGTAGAAAAAGAGCGACATGATGACATGAGAAGCTGTCTGTCACAGATAGTGACCGAGTGGCTGAACGAGTCTTACAACACAGAGCGGTTCGGACTGCCTTCGTGGAAGATGTTGGTGGATGCAGTGGCCCATCGCAGTGGGGGGAACAACCACGCCCTTGCCAGACAACTTGCCTTTGATTACAGAGGTTAGTAACTAAACAGAACCAACTAGACTTTCTTGAGGTACTTTATACATTTGTTCCCACGCATTTCTTGGTTTACATAATGAAATTCACTAAGCTATTTGAGAGCTTTACTCTCTTTCTTTCCTCATTTTTTCATTTGCACACTCTATATAGTGGATCCTCCTCCAAGCCGACGAAATTGAGTTTGTCTCCTGACATTACTCCGTGACTCTTTAGATTATAGGGATGTTGTGTAATCCATTATACAGTGATGAGTTTAAAATTAAGTCTTTTATCCATTAATGTCATTACTAATTAATGTTAAGTCCCACATAGCAATAGATTCTCCATGTGTCCTCCAAGTGTGATAGTAGCACACAGTCAGAGTAGAACTGAATGAGTCTAAATACACCAAAAAAACCACTGCCTATTATGTCGTTTGAGATTGTCAGAGTAGACACCGATGGAGGCATAACCAGATGTCTGGTTGCAGTCACGCTGAGCACGTGATTTTGTGCTGCCATTTGTTGTTGCATGTGAAGAGTTGAAAATGTGGGTCCATGTGTCCATGACCCGGGAGATTCGTACTACTTCTTCCCCAAGAACCTGCAGTGGCCGTAAATATAGGTTGCACAACCTCTTCGTGAATGGTCAGTCGGAGCAACAGCTGGATTATCAGAGCTCAGCTCTTGCAAGTGGGCACGTTCAGTGAAGCCTCGGCATTACACAACAGCTCATAAATTTGCAGTCCGGACCCAAATTGACGGTTCCCACTCTGATCCATATCCACCGCGCCGAGCACTGTGTGTCAAGTGAGGAGGCAATAATCTGCCGGCTCCAGACCCACCGTAAATGTCTGATCAGGTTTTTAAGTTGTTTTTGTGTTGCCAGTTATACACAATATTGTGTGGTGCTCGTTTCTTGGTCCTTGTGTTATAGCTAGTTAGGCTGTGTTACATTATTTGTTGTGGCTAAACCAGTCTTACAACATGGAGTGTTTCGGACTACCTTCATGGGAGATATTGGTGGATGCAGTGGCCCATCGCAGTGGGGAGGAATAACCACGCCCTGGCTCGACAACTTGCCTCCGCAAAATAATTGATTTTCTTGGTACATTATTTTCCCCCATGCTTTATATATATAAATGATGTAAGAAGCTATAACTGTTTGATATTAACACCTTCCTCTCTCCCTTACCTCATTTCTTCCTTCTCACACTGTAGTGGATCCTCCTCCAGACAGAAAATATCGAGTTGAATGGTCTCCTCACATTACTCTTTGACTCTTTAGATTGGGATGTATTATAGTTACGCATTAAGCTGTAACGAAATTTCAAAAATAGTGTTTTAGCCCAATAGCTATGCCACTACTAATTAATGCTAAGTCCCAGCTGTTGCACCCTGAAATATAGATTCTCCATGTGCCCTCAAAGTGTGAGAGTAGCAGTCAGAGTAGTTAGAAATGAAAAAAATACTTCTTATATTATTATGCCCTTCGAGACTGTCAGAGTAAACACAGCAATGGGTTCGGGAGCAAAATCTGTGAGTCTTTAGCCTTGTCATTTTGGTCTATTGGTGGTGAAAATGTAGGTTAATGTGTCAGTGACCGGGGAGATTTGTAGGTCCTTTTTCCCCAAGAAGCAGTGGCCGTAAATATAGGTTGCACAACCTCTTCGTGAACGGTCAGTCGAAGCAACAGCTGCATTATCAGAGCTAAGCTCCTTGAAAACACAGCTTCTGGCAAACTATCCAGACAAACATTTTGCCATACCAGAAATCTTAACACGTAGTATACAATGTTCGCTGTCACAAACCGTGCCTGGCACTATATAGTCAACATTCCAACATCACTAGTAGGAATTTCCTCCTACATATCACGATCATTCCTTTGTACTATATCACACCGAAGGCAAAAAGTTGATAAACAAAAGAAAGTGTCTATACCGTGAACACTAGCATGTGACAGGTGTGATAGTGCTGTGAGTGCTGCCCATTGCTGCCTCCAAACACTACTACAGGCTTTAGTATGAGAGAGTCCTACTTCGCTGTGCTCGCAGAGTGCTACTATATATGCTGGGGCCCTCAGCTTTCTACAGTATATGATTAGCTACCTGTTGTAATCATCCGTGACTGCTTTGTTTGACCCTAATGGTAGTCATCCTGCCTCACCGCCTATTATCACACATGCATTGGCCATGACATTTTATTCGTTGGAGGCTTTGCCCTTAATAAAGAGAGAGGCTTGATGCCATGTCAAAAGAAGGGGTATATAGCATCTACTGAGACAGAAGGTCATTTATAACCCCATCCCATGTATTTATGATCTCGCCCACTTAGGGTTCAGAGTACCTCTTACGTTGGATGGCTCATTTCTGCTGCCCACGATCTGCACCCCTCCCATAGCACAGTGGTGTTCGAATCCTACTGGCTAATCCTTTCTACCTTTCTTCTTCTCTTTCTGACTACGCACTCTTCATCATTCTTTCAGTCTACCAGGTGTGAGATAGGGAGCGAGATGCGCAGTAACCCGGTGCCAGCGCTTACATTACCCATCCCCACTTGACTTAGTGCACGATACCTGTTAATTAATGAGCATAAAATGGGCAGCAAAATCCTGCAAGAATAGTACATATTTTTTTCAGAGGATTTACATGTAACTATCTAAGTATGGTGGTTATAAAAAGAAACTACGTTTTGCACATTGTCATGAACAATTCTGTGTTTCCCAGTGTACATGTTGTTGTACACCACGTGTTTAAATTGACATGAACCCCAAGGTGAAGACGGTTTGGTCAAGTTCAATAGAGCTAGTAGACTCGTTCTGCACCCGTGGCGACGGAATGCCTAGTGAGCTGCTGTTTATACGTTGAAGCTAGCCGCAACGCACCCCCTCGGCACTGACAGCAGCTTGTAGTAGTAAACTAGTGGAAATGGTGAACATTGTTGGCGAGCGGGAGTGACCCCACTTGGGATTCGCCCGCCATGTTCGGTCAGCGCACAGCTTTCCTTTCGTGGAGCAAGACAGATGTACCTGTCGCCGTTACATGCGTATTGTACATTGACAGAACGGTGTGCAGGTGAGCAGAACGGTACTTACCTTACGCTTTCATCAGGCAGCTGGCATGCAGCAGTATGTGCACGCGTATTTGCAAGTTGCACCTTGGAACCATGAAGATTGGGAAGAGGCAGTGGCGTAGCTACGGTAGGGCCAGGTAGGGCCCAGGCCCTACCAAACATTTCGCAGTATAAATTTTAGCGCGCGCACGCGTGGAATCACGCGCGTGGAGAGCTGACCGGGATCAACGACAGGATCTAGGACAGTACAGAAAGTGTGTGTGTGTGTGTGTTATACAATGTCTACAAGTGGCGGGCGCCAGTTAACGCTTTTCCAGTGCTGCAACTCTGACACTCACGATGAGCCAGGCGCTAAGCGGGTGAGGCTGTCGCCCAGGACAGATGAAGATGAAGATCCGTCCTCGAACTCGGACGTTGATTCCGCTGAGCAGCTGGAACCGGATATTTGTGAGTCATATGAACCTACGTCAAGTTCGTGCTATTTTCCTCATAACCAAACTAACAATATTACGCTTAAAAACCCTACTGGACCTACAACATTAGTTATCAACAGCTCCCCTGCTGCCACAGCGAAAGTAAAGCAATCAGCTTTTGTGAATTCACCCAGTGATATCGCATCGACTCCTGCATCCCCCCCCCCAGTACAACCAACTTGCCTTAAGTACCCAATTACAGTGATATCCACAAAATCTAGATCTTTTAACCCATCATGGTATACCACCTATCCCTGGTTAGAGTACTCCACCGAAAGGGATGCATGCTTCTGTTACAGCTGCCGATTATTTGGTTGTGGAACTGGTAGCAAATGTGAAAAGACATTCACTGTGGTTGGTTTTAGAGACTAGAAGCATGCAACTGGTAAGAGTGGTGTACTTTCCAAGCATGATGGCAGCCATGCTCACAGGCAATCAGTTGTTGCATGGAATCAGTATAAAAGAAACATGCAGCAGAAAAGTTCCATTGAGGAGCAACTTGGGATTGCAAGAGCTGAACAAATTACCAACAATCAGCATTACATCAAAACCTTAGCCGAGATTGTCCTTATGCAGTCATCAAGAGATTGCTTTGCATGGCCACCGTGAAGGAGAAGAGTCAATGAATAGAGGAAATTATTTAGAAATCCTACACCTAGTTGTACTTCATGATCCTGTGGTTAACAAGAGGCTTATAAATGGACCAAAACATGCAAAATATACCTCTCCTGACATACAAAATACTCTAATACATATAATGGGTGCAATGGTACAAGAGTCTATATGTTCTTCTGTACGGAAGGCAGGTGTATTCACAATCCTAGCAGACGAGACAAAGGACTTTAGCAAGAAGGAACAGCTTGCCATTGTTCTGCGCTACATTGATATTGATGCAGTTAAGCTTTATGAACACTTTTTAACCTATGTGGAGGCTACTTCTCTTGATGCACGTAGTCTTTCTGAATTTATTCTAAATGCTTTGAGAAAGAACGGATTAGATCCTGGGTGCATTGTCAGCCAGGGATATGATGGTGCATCCGTCATGAGCGGTCATTGTGCTGGAGTACAAAAGTATGTCTGTGATATTGCTCCTCATGCCACCTATGTTCACTGCTACGCTCACTGTCTAAATTTGGTGCTTGTAGACAGCACAAAGAGGGTATCTGAGGCATCTGATTTTTTTTCTATCATGGAAACTCTTTATGTATTTTTGTCAAGAAGTGTTACACATGCAATTTTCCTAAAGAAACAGTCTGAACTACAACCAGACTGCCCACAAAGACAACTGCAGAGGCTTTCAGATACCCGATGGTCTTGTAGGTTCTTAGCAGTTGATGCTGTTTGCAGTACATTTGAATCAGTTTTAGCAACCCTTGAAGAAATAGCCAATGGAAAAGACAGATCAAGAGCTATCGAAGCTGCTGGAATTTGGACACATGTGCAAAGTTTTAAGTTTTTTAGTATTGCTAATAACATTTTGGTGGATATTGTCCTGTACAAAAAGTCTATCGGACCAGCTTCAAAGTAAGCAGTTGGATCTAGCCAAAGCTGCAGACCTTGTACTGGCCACAAAGAGCACTCTGAAAGAGTTTAGAACAGACAGTCAATGGGACAGTATCTATAAGTATGCTGTAGAAGTTGCCAATCTCCATAGCGTAAATGTAGAACTCCCACGACCATGCCGACGTAAACGACAGCCAAGAAGACTTGAAGGTGGAGTTGTATTGGAGTCCACCGGATTAAGGGATGTTGTGTCACTTTTATTGTCTGAACAATTAAAGGTCACTCTTTTTTCTACCAGTGTTAGATTCCATGCTATCTGAGCTAGAACGAAGGTTTTCCGACAAAAATGTTATGCATATGAGAGCTATTCAAGCCTGTGCCCCAGGATCTGAGCATTTTTTGGAAGCAGATCATATTGCTCCTCTTGCTGATTCTTATGGGCTCAACAGAAGTTCTCTCCCCATGGAATGTTCCTTAGCTAAGCGTACCTTGACTGGGAAAGCTCTAAATGAGGTTATTGATGTTCTTCGTGAATTGTCTCCTTTAAGAACAGCATTTCCTGTACTGGTCAAGTCAATTCAAATAGCATTAACTATTGCCGTAAGTACTGCACACTGTGAGCGCTCTTTCTCGGCCCTAAAACGTATAAAGAGTTACTTGCGATCTACCATGACTCAACAGCGGCTCATAGACCTTGCAATCCTTTCAATTGAAAAAGAATTATCCAAGAATCTCTCTCTCGACAATGTTGTTGACCAATTTGCTTCCCATGATAAGAACAGAAGAATAACTTTGATGTGATGTATGAAAACTAATGAATTCTTAATGGTAGAAATTTATTGCCTAGAATGCACCAGATACGTTCTCAGAAGGCCTGAAAATCTAGGGGGCGCACTTTGTGCGCTATTGTTCTTGTAATGATTATGTATAATGCCCTACCAGTAACTACTTCCTGCCTACGCCACTGGGTACATCTGTCTTGCTTCACGAAAGGAAAGATGTGCGCTTACAGCACGTTATGCAGCCCGAACATCGCGGGAAAATCCCAAGTTGGGTCGCTCCCGCTCGCCAACAATGTTTAACATTTTCACTAGGAATTGGTCAGCGGGTCCAAACGTTATATACGTACGTCCGGCCGTCCGTCCGTACGTCGTGCTATTGCGCATGTGTCAGAATTACGCGCTTCTTTTTATCCGAAATAATTTCAAAATTTTTTACACGCTCTTGCAGCTAGCTCGATGCCTAGCCAGGGAGAGAACTCTCGTCCATTCGGCGGCACTCTTTAGTGCCTTACCGAGGCTTGCAATCTTCGTGGTTCCAAGCTGCAAATTGTAAGTAGCCTAGGTTTGCTCGTGTGGATATAATCATTGCGTGCTCGCTCCCGCTCGCCAAAAATGCCGTGCATTCGCCTACTAGAAATTATGATGACGATGATGTATAATTATAGAAATTATTGCGCGCTAAAATATTCCGCGCTTCTTTTTATCCTAAATTTTCACATGCTGCCTTGATGTCGCATCGTGCACACGTGCGTGCCTGTACGCGTGTTTGTGTGGCTCCGTACTCTCGCAATGATGATAAGTCCTGAAGATGCCCTTCGTCATCGAAGGGAGAGGGAAAGAGAACATCGTACCCGTGAGACTCCTGCGCAGAGAGAGGCTCGTCTGTATCAGCGTCGCTTGCGTGATAGGGAACTATTTTCAAAATTATTACACGCTGCCTATCGATTCGAAATCGAGCCAGCGAAATAACTCTCGTCTCTTCGCTGGCATTCGCTGCGCTCTTCGATACCTGACCGAGGCTGTATGATACCTCTTTCCAATCTTCGTGGTTCTAGGATGGCTCGTGCAGATACAGTGCTTGCTCCCGCTCGCCATGCATTCGCCTACTAAAAGAAGCGCGTACAAACCGCGCATGCGCACTTACACGACGTACGACGGTCGGTCGGTCGTATATAGAAAATTCCGCTCGAACGAACGGCTCGCTCCCGCTCGCCAATTACATTCCATCGCCAACGTGCAGTCGCTAGGATCCAAACTTTGACGGTTCCTCCCCCATACCTACCAACCATCCCGATTTTTGCTTCATAATGGGGTCTCCGCTATAACTGAAGCCACACCCTTCAACTCCACGATCCACCGCGTGTCAAGTGAGGAGGCGATCATCTGCCGCGGCTCCAGACCTACCGTAAATGTCTGATCAGGTTATAAGTTGTTTTTGTGTTGCCAATTATGCACAATATTATGTGGGGCTCGTTTCTTGGTCCCTGTATAATAGCTAGGCTGCGTTGCATCCCTTTACAGTGATTATCTTATACAGTTGGGTATTGATGACTTTGCCCAAGTCCAAGAGGCTCTGTGGGAGGCCAGATCAAAATGGCACAACATCGGGACCCGACTCAAACTGGGGGTCTTTGATCTTGATTGCATCAATTCTGAGCCAGGGTTTGGCCTGGATGACAAGTTCAACCTCATGATCAAGACAAGGTTGAAGAGGATGGAGCCATGCACCTGGAGAGATCTCTACGATGCTTTGAAACACCCTACTGTTGATATGCCCAGTGTTGCCAACAAACTGGCAGTGAAGTTACCAATTGGTACTAATCTTCCTGCGTTTTTCCTTATTAAGTTACTTCATTCATTGTGCAGTTGTGGTACAACCAGCAGAGCAAAGTGCAGCAGGGGCAGCTAATATCTCACCCATGAATATCTCATCTATTAGTGGAGGAGTCCAAGGTTTATCACACAGTATAATGATAATTATTAACTTAAATTTATACTCACTGCATTGCGAGGGTACGGTGGCCGATATACGGTGGCCGATAGGTGCCATGCCGATTTCCATTCCGTTTTCCATTCACACTTCTGTTTTCCATTCCAAATTCCGTTTTTACGTTCCACATTCCGTGTTTATCACCGCGGCCTGTTCCCCATGCGCTAGCGAAGGGAGGACGAGTGAAGTGTGCTCGCCAATACAATAGCTGCTACATGCTGAGAGCGAACTGGGACCGCCAGGGAGACCCTAGCTTCCTTCCCAAGCCCCACAAAACGTTGGGAACTCACGTTATGATTGGTAAAACTCATGCAATCCACTCGAGCGCACAGGGTTTAGGGTAAGGGTAGTAATATGCTAACTCGCGCCTGCCTTGGTATGCACGCAAATTTCGAGACGCTACCCACTCTTTCACCCCAGCTACGAGCTCGCACATTATATAGAAAACCATAAATCAAGAACAGCATTTGGAATACATCGCTGGAAATAGGAAAATGGAATGGAAAACGGAATGAATGTCGACATGGGCAGTAGATGGTATGGCTGACCAGAGGAGGAATGTTTTGAAGACATCTCGTTAGCTATCATGCTTCAATGAGTTTTCCTCTCATTCTCTTTCTACATGATATAAAGTAAAATGTGGTTGTGCCTCTATATACAGTTTGATGGGTTCAATTGTAGCCTTGCATTAATTCGAGGTGTGTACAAGTCGGGACTGAAGCTCCTTATCGTAACATCACTTATTGATCATTAGCCAGTTTTTATAAGCTGCTGCATATTATAGTGTTCCTGAGAATGTGCAAACCTGTTACACCTGGAATGTGGTTAGGTAACATAGATGTGGTTCTAAAAACAAGTTATGAAAACCTTTTGCAATACTCATATACCGGAAGTTACTTAGATGGTTGCTACAGAAAACAGAGTAGAGTAAACAGAAGCCACACACAGGAGGGCATGCACTCTTTTTGCATCCATTTATAATGTGCATGTTCCTATATGTAGCCAATTCATTTAGTTCCGGTCAGACAAAGTATTGTCACACTTTTGGTGCCGGAAAATATATCTCTTGCAAAAGTAACCCCTTCTGTGGTGCAATAAATCCTTAATTATTCAGGATATTTCCTTATGGCTGACTGAATTGTTTTCCCTCTAATAGAGTCAGGGCAGCAGATATATTAGACAAGGGCCATAAGGCTGGGAATCTCTAACTGTCTTTCTGTCTAATGATGTGGAGTGCTGATATCTTACACACCCACTCATTGCCAGTATCACTAACATATCTTCCTCCAGCCCCGATGGCAATACCTAATACCCTACTGGTTACTTTGGTTACAGCCTGCACATGAGCACCACTATACTGTACAATATACGACCATTTTGTCATGAAGTAATGCTACTGCGCCTCCTCTTGGGGTAAAAAAAGAGACCTTTTGTCCCACACACTATTGTTGTCCCACATCAACATAGCATTTGGTTTTCAAGCCTAAAGCATAACATAATGCTTTTGGTGCACTATACTATAATAGATAAAGAAGTCACCGAGACGAGAGAAAAGATCGATGAGTTGCAGAAAGAATACATCGATATCTCTGTTAGTGCTGCTGAAGAATTTAGCAACAGTGTTGCAGTAAAAAAATTGCGTTATTCCCTCCTCTGTCTTCCACCGAATCTTAAGAAATTGCACAAAAAATTCCTTCGGGAAGCAAAGGCTGAAATCAAAGAAGCTGAATCAACCGATGAAGTATTGTATATTATTGGAGAGCACAATCACTACCTCCACTATTCCCTGTTGAAGTATGTCATAGATCTCTATGGAAGTGCTAATCTGAAAGGGAAAATAGCAGATTTTGCAAAGCAGGTGAGAACATTTAGAAAAGAAACAAGGCTCGAAGTGTTTTCACAAGTTAATGATGATGATGAGCCAGAAGATATCAACGGAAAGTTCACCACGATGGTTAGTAAGCACCAAATGGACTGGAGAACAGCTACACTGGAAGATGTTGAGAAGTTTCGCATTCAAGTCTGCCGGGAGCTGTCCTTGTATGACTTCTCCCTCAACCTCGTGAAAGTGGCTCGAGGGTGTGTGGAGGTGACATGGCGGGTTCCTCGTTCTCTGGTGACCTACATCCAGAACTCTGTCAAGCCCAGCAGTCACAGCATGATGGAGCATCACGTCACCACTCTCACCATTGACGGTTTCATCGTCTACGACTCCTCTTTTGGTAGTCTGTTTATGTTTGATAGTGAGTTGTGCTTTACTTTACTCATTTACAGCCATGCAGTTGGAGTGGAAGGTGATTCGACTAGAGCTTCGGGCTATTGATACCAATTACAGCTACCTGTTGGGGGAGATGTCACCAGATGAAGTAGTTCCACACCTGGTGCAACGAAGTCTTCTGACACGGGCACAAGCAGAAGTTTGGGAAAGGAGCAGCCAACTGGAGAAAGTATCTAAAATAGTAGATGCACTCCGAGATGCTGATAATAGAGTTGTTGGGATGTTCCCAACATTCTGTATGGCTTTGAATGATTCTGGGATGTCACATGTTTCAGAGACACTTCGTAACAGTGAGTTGCTCTAAACTGTACAATTTATGAATTGCTCGAAGCACAAAAAGGTAAGAAACAAGGATGGCGGTTTCAGCAAAGTACACCAAATTAGTTTTGGTGAGAAGAGTGAGTCCATTGAGTAATTAACCCTCGGCGCGCATGCGCAGCAAGGGTTACAATAGTCGTTCTATCTGTTTGTCTGTGTGTCGATGCTTATTCAGGCACTACAGGCTACGAGGTGGCCAATGAGCGATACCAACGGCTTCAGAACTACGCGAACATGAAATATAATTAGGCGACTGTGTTCGAGACATAATAATTATGCCGTGAAAAAAAGCGAAAAAGCCAATATGCATGTTCGCGCTGGCTTATCTCGAACTGATCGGCCTACCTTGGAGGCACAATAAGTCACAACAAAGGGTGTATATCGACTCCCGCATGCTTTCTACTAGTGTAGTTAGCCCGTGTCAGACTCACCGCAAGCTACTAGCCATTGAAGACCACAAGTAACTGCATAGTCTAGACCCCAGCCCATCAATTAGCTATACTACGCACTGCGTAGTGTAGTCTCGTGCCCAGACCCCGCCCTCAAGAGAGGAAAAGGGTCTGGTGACTATTGAGCGTTTTCGTTGCTTGTGGTGACTCGGCAGTCTTACTTTTGAGACACCGAATCAGATTGCAGTATTTGCCACGAGCGTGAAATAATCGCATTATGTTATGTAATAGATCGTAACGCAGCTCCGTGGATTCTGCCTGTCCACGAATGAAAACAGGCTTTCTGTGCATGCACTCGACAATGATGAGTCAGCACAATCAATAAAACGCTCAATAGTCACCAGACCCTTTTCCTCTCTTGAGGGCGGGGGTCTGGGCACAAGACTATGCGTAGTGCGCCGAGGGTTTGCACTTTACCCTCGGCGCGCATGTGCAGCGAGGGTACGGTAGTCAGGTTGTCTGTCTGTCTGTTACTCAACATGTCACTTCTCGAATGTTTTTTCGTCTCACGAACGATACTACCTACTTAACGGGCAATGAACATGTGGTTTTCTCTGAAAATGCTCCGTTGCAAAGCTAGAGCACTCCCAGCATTGTACGCCTAGTCGCCTAGTCGGCCATTTTTTCTCTGCTGGGAACGCGCATGCGCATTATATTTACTAGACTACATTTTGTTTCTCGTTCGATGAGAAGAAGGTCTCCAGTTCTGCGAGTTGGCCCACAGTGTGAAACTATTGTGGCAATAAGGCTGAGGGTGTGTAAATTTTACCAACATGTGTTTCAAGCCAAGAGAAAGGCAGAGCATGATTTGCCAGGCATAGCCATGAAACGCATGCGAGTGTTACAGGCAGACAGTGTCAAATCAGCTATGAAGGCTAAAGCTAAGTTGCAAAAGGCCAGTAAAAGAGCGCCAGAAACTAGCTAGCAAACTGTGCATAGAAAAGAGCGAGACAGATAGCACAAACCAAGCATGAGAAGTGGAACTAGCACGCAAACTGTGCATAGCAAGACAGAAAGCACAAAGCAAGCATGAGAGCATCTAATGTGTCTGTATACAACAAGCTGTTGTGTCATTTCATTCTGATATCAAGAATGCACCTGATTATGTTTGCTCATGTTGGCACCATCTGATGTATAGCAAGAGTGTTGTTCCATGTAACCTAGCTAAATATACCAAGTGCAGCAACAACTTGCTAGAATGTGATGACCTCAGATATGTTAGTGATACTGGCAATGAGTGGGTGTGTAAGACATGTGACAGAGCATTAACAGATTAGCAACGATTGTGCGTGGGCGTATGTATCTTTTTTTCAATGGCACAGCAAAAACGCTGGTGATTTATGGTGAATTTAGGTATATTTCTCGGATTTTTCCTACCTTGTTTTCCAAACTCATTAGCATATTCATATTACTCCTCAATACATTCTCTATGGGAGAGAAAACTCTTGCGCGACTCAACCAGGAGCGAACGGTCCGTCTCCATTATGCGCAGTGGATTTCTATAGAAAAAACGGGCGTGACCGGGTGGCAAAGGTCAACGTGAAAACGTAATGCTCAAAACCTGGCCACGCCTATTTTTCGGGATGGCTCTAATACGCCTGCGCGTGCCACAGGAGGCAGAACGCCTTTGCGCATAATGGAGACGGACCGGTCGCTCCTGGGTGAGTCGCGCACGGGTTTTCTCTCCCATAGAGAATGTATTGAGGAGGAATATGAATATGCTAATGAGTTTAGAAAACAAGGTAGGAAAAATCCGAGAAATAATACCCAAATTCACCATAAATCACCAGCGTTTTTGCTGTGCCATTGAAAAAAATATCTGAAACATACGCCCACGCACAATCGTTGCTAACCTAAGCGAGGAGTAATGCCATTGCAAGCTAAAGAAGTTGTCTAAAATACCACCTGAGCTGTCTAATCTAAATGCTAAGGCTTATTAACCCTCGGCGCGCATGCACAACGAGGGTTACTGTAGTCGTTCTGTGTGTCTGTCTGTGTGTGTGTCTGTGTACGACTATTCTCGCACTGCAGGCAACGGGGCGGCTTATGAGCGATACCTTTAGCGATACAGGGGCTAGAAAAACAAAATGGCGATTTTGCTGAAACGACTTCGTTCGAGAGCGACAAACTGGCATGGTCGCGGACAGCGTCGCGTGGCCCAACCCATCAATAAGCGGGTGCGCATGCGTGTATTAGGCGCAGTATGCTGGCTCACCTCCACCTGATCCGCTTGCTCTGTGTACCTTGGAGGCACATGAAGCCACAGTGAAGGGTGTGTATCGACTCCCGCACTACTGTAGCTAGCGGGAAACCGCGCCAATAACCCATTAGCTGTATCGTGCATGCGCAGTTTGCCGAGCACTCTAGTGCTTTTCATTTGTCCATGCAGCTACCGGCCATGAAACTTTCACTATACACCAGCATGATTAGTGGTACCACACATGCACAGTTCGCCAAGGGTTTGCACTTTAATGCTTTTCATTAACCCTCGGTGCGCATGCGGGTTACAGTAGTTGGTTTGTCTGTCTGTGTGTCGGTCTGTCTGTGTGTGTGTCAACGCTTATTCTGGCACTACAGGCTACGAGGCGGCCTACAAGCAGCTTCAGAACTACGCGAGCCTGAAAAATAAACGGGTGATTTTCCTGAAACGACTGCATTCGAGAGATATGCCGGGAAAAGAAGCGAAAAAGCCAGTATGCATAATCGTACTGGGCTTATCGGGACCTGATCTGCCAGCTCTGTGTACCTTGGGGGCTCAGGAAGTCACAACGAATGGCATGTATCAACTCCCGCATGCTATCTACTACCGCAGACACTCCGCGAGCTACTAGCGGGAGACCACGAGTAAACACATAAAAATAGCCCAGCCCATCAATTATATAGCAATATCACGCATGTAACAATAGACCATGTGATGCCAAAAGAAAAAAGATGCGGAGCTCTGGCTGTTTCGGGCTTGTTGGCCCTCATCAGCAAAGCATACCGCAACCTCTCTCTCTGGTATCACGAGTTTATAAAGGCAAAGTTGAGCGCAGCACTTGTGGTTCAGAATCATCCCCACAAGGCTTTGCTCAGGCGCAGCACTTGTGGTTCTAAGCTAATGGAGATTTTCATCCCCACAAGGCGTTGCCAGTACCGAGCCAAAACCCGAATTCAGAATGCTGACATAGTGGATTGGGCCGCGGCAATGAAGCCAGCAACCACCCATGCACAGTTCACCGAGGGTTTGCACTTTAATGCTTTTCATTACCCTCGGCGCGCATGCGCAGCGAGGGTACAGTAGTTGAGTCTGTCTGTCTGTTTGTCTGTCTGTCTGTTAGTCTACATCTCACTCCTCGAAACGATACCATCTACCCAACGGGCGACGAAGGTCAGAAAATAAAGGCGGTTTTCTCTGAAAATGCTCCGTTGCAAAGCTAGAGCGCGAAAAGCTTATATGCAAATACGCAACGGACGGGATGGCTTACAGCGGTCGTGCTCTGCGTATATACTTCGGAGGCACCAGAAGATGCAACGCAGGGCGTGTATCGCCTCTCGCATGCTATCTAGTAGTGTAGTTAGCCCACGTCAGACTCTGCACGAGCTGGCAAGAGACCACGAGTAACAGCTAAAATAAACCCAGCCCATCAATTAGTGGTACGGCGCATGCGTTTACTTACGTGTGCGCTTCACGGTGTGCCGAGGGTTTGCACTTCAGTGCTTTTCATTTATTCAGCAACTGTTTATTTGCTCATACGTTGATTGTACATCCTCCACGTTCACCTGCGTCGATCCTACTAGGAATGCGCACGCGCATGCCTCGCGCCTGCCAGCCAATGCGTAAACAGTCCGACTGAGGCCGCTCGTGCGCGCGCTTTACTGACTGCGCGCGAAGCCAGACTTCCTACGAATCTGCGCGCACGGCGCTAGACTTCCTACGAATGACGGAAGTTGACATTCCTAAGCATGACTAATTGCCATTCTTAAGCGTGACCGACACGTACGTACGCATATCGCGAGAATACAACCCGGATTAGTTGCCTCACGCTAATGCGCTCGGCAATAACAGCTTTGAACAGGGCTAATGCTTTTCGTCTTTATGTCATCACCCAAGTGATCATTCAGTTTTCATTGTGGAGGTAGTTCATGACCCCAGCTATATATCTGTGCGTGTTGGTGTGAGGATTGCCATGGACTTACAGATGACAGATTGACGTTGGCCATGTTGGCAAGGCGCTCTCGCTCCACCTTGCCTATTTAGTTTTGTGCACTTTGTTGTAACCGCCCTTCTTGCTTCTCTCCTTTGTGTTCCACCATGAATGTAATTGGTTTCCTGAAGAAGATTCATTAAATCGTGCATGAGTTTATTCTTGCACACAGAACTCAGGGCATGCACAAGCCTTTGGGCATATATAGAGCCATAAAGCGTGGCCCGTGACTGATTTCTTGTATAATATGAAGGCTTGGCAATGGCTAGGCATTTTGCATTAAGTCTACTGATGTATTACTTATGTGTACAAAGTTTCATCTCCACGTTCGCTACCGTTAGCATTTTGAGGAGCGAAGAAGTAATTTTAAAGAGAAGTTTTGGGACTATTTGTTATGAGCTCTCATTGGTAAAACTTGCAGAGTTCCAGAGTCTCCTGATTGGTGAGGCAATCTCCCACCAACAAGAGGAGGATGAAATCATGATCTCTGGAGAGTCAAGTACCCAGCCCTCTCCTCCTCCAGATAGCCGCCTCTTCACTGCCCAATTGGAGGGTTCTACCCTCACAAGAGCACAGTACAACACCATACACAGCCTCACCAGCTCCTTTCTCCGTATCCCCACTAGTGATCTGGTGTATGATGGTCACACCCTCAATCCTCTCAGTCTTCACTGGCACTGCTCTACTGCTGAAAATTTATTCGGGACTCTCCCTCTCCTAACCGAAATGGCTATGACACAAATCAGAAACATTGCATTACCCAGTGGAAAGCTTACCATTCCTCAGTTAAATGTACGTAACTATGCGAGTGTAATTACGGTGTACTATTTTAACTAATGTCTGTAATGCAGGAGATTGGTATTCTCAATGCCGCATGGGATGGAGATGTTGATGCCCTAGATTTTGCTCTAAAAGAACAAGTACCTGTGGATTATGTAACAACTGTAAGACATTACTTATTTTGACCCTTGTTGTGCTGTGAAGTGGGTTACTTTGTGTTTTTCTGTCTGTTTATCGGCACCTATAGCACTACGGTGGTCCATGAGCGATACCAACTGCTTCAGAGCTACTATTGCATGAATTAGGGTGATTTTCCGGAAAAGCTGAATTCGGCATGAAATAAGTATAGGTTATACGATGGCGGCGCGTGGTTTTCTGGTTGTACACCAGTTTTGATAGGGCGCAGCCCGAGTGGTCTATCAAAACTGAAGCCACGAGTGTGCAACCAGTAAACCAGCCATCGTAAAACGATGACATCCGGTGATAAGGCTCTGACCAATGAGATTGCGCAAAAGCTTTCAAAACGCCCTCTTTTTAACGCACACCCTCGAGTGCGCAGAGAGGGCTAGCAAACGATCGGGAGAGAGACGGCTGCAATAAGCGCTTTAGTTTAGTCCAGCTTGGCGGTTTTGCAAAAGCCACGGGCATTTCTCGAGAGTTCAACGTTACAGGTATGTCAAAGCTATTCTTTATCGCTTCTAGATCCCATGCGCAAGTATTGTAGCTGCCCCTCTGGCTCGCTTTCTCTCCCACTGTACCCAGCGCTCCCTAGAATGCAGCCTGTTGCAGTAGCAAGAAAGCTGAAAGTCACCGAATACTGTTCCTGTCCACTGGAGCGTACGCGTCGGGAAGCAGCTTTCGCTAGTTTTCAGGCAGTGTATATACTAGAGCAGTTTCTAGCCTGAAAACACTCCCTTATGGTAAAGAAACAGCAGCACACAAAGAATGTAAAAGCCCCCCAATTGCATTACACGCTGCCAATTTCCTACTATCGTATAACTACCATAATTATACCCACTGTGGTTTATGCAAATGAGTTGACATACACCCTAAAATATGGGGAAATTGTATGGCCTCTTTATGGTATAATGAAAAGCACTAAAGTGCAAACCCTCAGCGAACTGCGCATGCGCGGTACCTCTAATCGATGGGCTGGGCTTATTAGTCAGCGTTTACTCGTGATCTCCCGCTAGTAGCTCGCGGAGAGTCTGACACGGGCTAGCTACAGCATGCGGCAGTCGATACATGCCCTTCGTTGTGACCTCCGAGGTACACAGAGCAAGCGGATCAGGTCGAGGTAAGCTAGTGCTAATTAGCATATTGGCTTGTTCACTTGGTTTTCACGCCATAACTTCTGAACGCGGCACTTTTACGAAAATCGGCATTTTTATAATCAAGCCAGTGTAGCGCTGAACCCGTTGGTGTCGCTATTTTACCTGTTCGTTGCGCGTGGTGGCAGAAAACGTGGTAACAGACGGACAGACAGACGGACAAACCAAGTACCGTAACCCTCGCTGCGCATGCGCACCGAGGGTTAACTACGTTGTTTGGACTAGCTGGAATTCCTTTGATCTTACTCTCAGTCATTATACAGTGTGAAATCGTACTGGCTTAGTTCAACCTTACCTGCTTGCTCAGTGTATATACCTTGAAGGCACTAGAAGTCTCAACGGAGGCTGTGTAACAAGTCCTGCATGCCATCTCTACTGGTGTAGATAGCCCGTGTCATACTCATTGCAGAGACCACGGCACAAGCAAACACATATAGCACACTTCAGCCCATCGTTTAACAGTACCGCGCATGTTGTTTGTGCACCCAGTGTTTGCGGGACAAAGAAGTTTTTCTAGCACAGAATTGCAGATAGAACAAAGCCCAGAAGCCCAGACTGAGTACTTGTTTTCACAAGCCTGACTAACACGCTGTAACAGTTAATGAGCAACATAATGGCTAGAGACCATTTTAATAAGACACAACGTTGACATCGCAGTTCTTAAGAGTCTGTCTTGTGTAGCATTGTGGTCCACTTTCTATCTTCTCATGTTGTATTTTAAGTAAGAATGTTTTCAGGACTTGGCAAAATGTTATAGTCTCTTCATTTAACTCTCGAGATAGATGTCCGGGGGAGGTGTTTAGGTAACTTTTGCCACTGTAGCAGACGATGATTCAGGCATGATGACATCCCTCAAGTAAAACCTAGTCAGTGGTATCATTGATATCAAGGGTTATACTAAGTTCAGTGTTGTGGGGCTGGATGCTTACTCAACACAACTTTATGGTGTGAGCACTGAAGTATGTCATCTGCATTGCTATTATGTTGTGTCAGGATGGGTGGAGTTCATTGATGATCGCATCTGAAACTGGACATGTGGAGGTGGTGGACAAGTTATTAGTACATGGAGCTGGAGTTGACCTGCAAAACAAGGTACAATTTTCATCAGTTAACTCGGCACTGCATGTTAGAAAGAATGCCCGCATTGACAAACCACTTACCTGTCTAGCTCACCCTATCACTGGGCAAAGGAACCAGCCATAGATAACATTGTGCATGACGTCATGTAATAGTAGGCATGCGTGTCAGAGCCCACTCTAGCTCCCTCAATCTGAAATACTGCTGAACGGGACAATTCCCCCCTGAGGTAGCCCCAAAACTAGATAGCTCGCAGGCCTATGTGTAGAAATAACATAGGTAGTACAGATATGAGTCAATAGGAGGCTGCAGGCCAGAGAGTCTGTCTGTTCAATCCCCAGTGGCAAACCCAAGAGGGTTGCAATCGGGCCCAGCTCTCCTCCAGGACAGTTGAGATGAGTATTGGGTATGCATTGCAATTTGGTACCTTCAACAGAAAATTTATCATGGAGCAAATCATGATCATCAGCTAGATTTTTGTGGTGTAGAGTCACGGAAAGGTGGAACTGGTGGCTTAGTAAACATGAGGAGCATGTGCAGATTTTTTAGTTACACTCCGAGATGTCTCAGAGAATGTTTGGAGGAATATGGGTCATAATGCCTGTCAAGCAGAGGGAGTTGGGATCCTTGGCACATGCCTGATGGGGAGTTTTAGTCGAATGTGGACTGGTGGAGAGCCTTTGTGATATCCCTATTCTAGCAATTTGTAGCAGTTAAGATGGCCTCTGCTGCTTCGAGGTCGCTGCTCTCCCCTGCCCTACGCCTCTATGTTAGATCGTTGTGCTATTCAATTGTGCTGGTTGTAGCCAACTCGTCATGCACAGTGTCAGGCATTGTCCATTTGCTTAAAGTTGTATTATAGTCCAGCAGTTGCCTAACTTTTGCCTTTCACCTGAACTCTTCCTTGTAAAAATCCTCAAACTCATCCAGTGGTGTATTAATGTACTAACCTGTGTTATGTTAAAGAGTGTGTTTGTGCATTATTCATGGTCCAATATCCCCCTAATAAGGGTGTTCCCAATTTATTGTTTGCCATGGGTGTAGTTTGTCAAGTTCAGCATTGCTTTTTACCACTATAGTGATTACTCATTTGTAGTCTGCTTGTGTGTGTGCCACAATACAGATTGGCTCACCCAATTCTAAACATGCACACTCAGCACCACCATTGGATTATTGTGAAAATGAATCAATTATGTACAATGTCAGAATGGGTGGAATCCACTGATGGTGGCATCTCAGGAGGGAAATGTGGAGGTGGTGGACAAGTTATTACAACATGGAGCCACAGTAGATCTTCAAAATGCGGTATTCACATTTATAGCTGTTATACCTACTGCTGCTAAGTTTGGCAAATATATGGGTCTGAGAAGCCAACCATGACCAACATTCGTAAACACTCCTTTTGCATTTGGTAGCTATATAGCTACACATTCACACATTCAAATGTAGTGACAAGTCATAAACCAGGTTCTGGTTGCAATTGTGCACTTGTATTATACAACCAATAGTTTCTCTGTACAGTGAATACATATGTACGACTGCTTGCGTACATATTATACCTTGTGCCTCATTTTTAAGGATGGGTGGAATGCACTGATGGTGGCCTCTCATAATGCACACGAGGAGATGGTGGAAAAGTTATTGCAACATGGAGCCAGAGTAGATCTGCAGAATAAGGTGATGTACTTGTGTTAGCCATTGGCGCAGATTTGTTTGTTGTCCATTAATTTTCATTGGCCCCACATACCATATTCAAAGAGAAATCATTTTCCATTTGTCCCCAAAAAGACATTTTAATTGAAGTCGTTGCTAGGTAAACAATATTTCATGCTACCAACTGGTCTGTGCCTACTGTATACAAGTGGAAAAATCATTTCTTCAAAATCAAGGGGGAAATAGGGATGGCTTGAAGCACCAAAAAGGAAGAAATAAGGGGTCAAAGTTGCACAAAGCTACATGACACCATCCCTATATCTTTAAACTTTGCAATAAAGCAAAGGTATAGGGATGGTGTCATGTAGCTTTGTGGTGTAATGACCCTTTGTTTCTTCCTTTTTGGTGCTTCAAGCCATCCCTATATCCCCCTTTCATTTTGAAGACAAACTGTAAATGTTGAGAGCAGTAGCTAGGCTTCTAGTGCTTGCCTGAAGCAAGGGCTAGATACCGCATTCACCTCATGTATTGTCTTCAACAAGGATGTAATTAGGTTATTGCACATGGTTGTCGTTTCATAGGCAGGCTTTGGTAATCAGGCTACAACCTGGGGGGACAAACAATGAGGGCCCATTCGAGCGCAACAGAAGGCTCGCGTGTAACACCAGCGTCCGCGCAGACTCTGCCAAGTTGCTCCTCGTGCAAATCAACAGCAAGCTAGCCGGTTGGAAAAGTGCAAATTTACTTCCATAAGGCACTGGAGGCTGAGAGTTCCTCTACAGGTCTGTCAACTCGTCTAGCAATACGTGCGCGCAGAGCATTGGACAACGCCCCTGCTTGACGCATGCGCGCGGCTCACTGATGCTGAGTTAGCATCAAATGGTGTTGTTCAGTGTCGACCATGGAAGAGCTCCATGATCTACCGTAGGCAAGAAAGAAGCGATCGCTTGATGTCCGTGCACACTTCTGGCGAAATTGGAGACGTTCAGTGAAAAAATCAGCGCTTGAACTGGTACTGCCTAACTAGACGCCCTGCCCTGGTTTCTCTGTGTTAGGAGTTTTTGTTTGCGGATCGTGTAGATTTCACTGTGGGGATTTCACGATGTGCCATCCCTACATACTGGGACGTGTACCTGAATGGGCAGACCAAAAGCCATTTTAAACCTAATCACTATATTTGCTAGGTTAGCTAGAGGGCGTAAAAGGTGAGATCATTTGCACTTTAGTAGAATTGTGTTTTTATCACAGATAATTGTGTGCATTGTGGCAAATTACACGTTCTTCTAAACCTGTTTATTTATTAGGGTGGGAGGAGTTCACTGATCATAGCCTCTCTGAAAGGACATGTGGAGGTGGTGGAGAAGCTATTACAACATAGGGCAACAGTAGACCTTACCATCAAGGTAATAGTTGATTGATGTTACCTATAGAAGAAGTATTGTTTCATTATTGCAGAGCAATGATACATCACTGATACTAGCCTGTCGGAACAATGACTTGACCACAGCTTCTGTCCTCCTGAGAGCTGGTGCCTGCCCAAATTGCTGCAACAATGTAAGCTTCTAACAATTTTACTCCACCTATAGCTCATCATTATCTCTTCACAGTACGGACAGACTCCACTTCTGCTGGCTGTGTGGCATGAAAACCAGGCCATGGTCAGGGTTTTGGTGCAGGCAAATGTTGATGTCAACCAAATGGATCAGGTTTGTTAGTAACGTATGTCATTACATTTGTATGATTGTGTGGTTTGTGTGCAGGGAGGACTCTCTCCTCTGATGATGTGTTGTGTACAAGGAGACTCAGAGATGACAAAACTGCTACTTGACTCTCAAGCTAATCCCAACCTCCAGCAATCAGTTGAGTATCACAGTTTACCCTACCAATCTGAAATTGCAGAGCTTGATGTGTCAAAATAAAACTATGAGCTTAATCATCACTGGTGTCTTGTCAATGTGTCCTTTACAGAATACTGGATACACAGCTCTGATGTTTGCCTGCAAGGGAGGTCATCTGGATACAGTCATGATCCTCATGGGACATGTAGCTGACCCACTGATCAGAAATTCGGTACACATTGTTGTAATCTAAAGTAGAAAGCAGAGTGTAGCAATTAAGTGCATGGAATGATTGTCTTGCAAGAATATGACTTAGGAACAATGAAATCTTCATTTCTTCTTTCTATTATAATACGTATTGCTGAAAGGTTCATTTACCGAAACGTCAAATTTATGTTTCATTAAGAAATTTGCTATGTAACGTTAACTAATAAATTAAGGAACATAGCTAGCAATGAGTCTTTTTTGTTTGCTCATCTTTTGTTAGAGTGGCATAACAGCATCAGATGTGGCCTTAGTCAATGACTTTCCTGATTTGTGTGCTGTCATTAAACTCATGGAACCTAAAACTACATCAGATATTGCTGAGGTAGGAATGGAATTTATTTGAGCACGTACCCTTGTGGCTGTGACTCTTTCTCTGTTTCAGTATTAAGTAAAAATGTAGCTAGCTATAATTCACCACCCACTTCAGCCCAAAGATGAGTGGCCGTACACCCGAAATAATGTTATATATACATTGGTGACAAAAGTCCTCAAGAGTAACACTGTCACCAAGTATATAGTAATCTTCCGTTTCACACTCACAAATCAGCACTTGTTTGGTGCCCACGTTCTTTTGTACAAAATTATGGGTTCGCACACAGTTAAAACATTGACTGCTGCTGCCATGCTACGTATACACAAGTGCTGGCCTATAAGTGTCCACTCTCGAAATCGGCCCACCAACACAAACCAAAGACAGCGAATCAACTAATTTTTAATGCCACACATTACGTAAAGTTGATAGGTAAGGGATTACTGACTTTTATATTGCAGCACCCTGACACTTCTCTGATGAAAGAAACAGTGGACGAAGTGGTCAAAAGGTTCCATGCTCAGATGGATCATGTCCCGTCGTTGTCCCTGTATGACAGTGACAAAGGTGTGGCCTTCAGAGCTCCAAAAGAACATTTGAAACATCAATTTAGTGAGCATGAGACGTGATCTGTGTATAGGGTACCCTTAAATATCTTTTCCTTCTGTTTACTCTGGTATTATGTGTATATACAAAGTGAAGTTATTAAAAGCTGTTGGTGACATTTACCAAACTTGTGCATGCAGGCAGTTCAATCTCCATTCATAATACGAGAGCCAACATAAATGAGGTGAACATAATTCCATGTAGAGTTGTGCACCTCTGTTGTAACACTCTTAGTTGAACGTTGAACCTCAGTTTTACAATCAAAAGTTCCCCTGACCCTATTGATGTACTGATAAAGTTGAGATATTCTCAAAATTCGGCTCAACGCAACCAGACAACCTCTGGTCTTGCAATGATATAGTCAATCAAAGAAGAGATGAAAACTGAACCAGAGAGCCACAAGACCTCTGTAGACGAAGAGCTGGGGATGATCCTTAATAACCAATACACGTTTGATCTCAAATTGAATGAACTGGATTTAATGGCTGCTACGCAGGAAACGCTAAGCAGGAAACGCTAAGCTTGAACTAAGACAGACGGTTGTTACTCTTCCACTCTTCCTTTATGCAACTGCAGAGCAATGACGGAACACAATGCTTTAGCAATAGAGTAACGAATGGCTGCAACTTCTGCACTGGAAGCGAGAATTACTACAAAGGAACTAAGGAGGTCAGCTGAGAATCATGTTACACTGATTGGATCCCACCTGTCTTCGGTCAACGAAGTTGTGTATATACTTGTGATAGTTATACCTGTGACTCAGTCTTCTTCCCTGTCGGTGGAGGAAACTACATACACTAGTGTGTGTGGCTCTATCACAGCCTGTATACCAGTATGGTCACACCGATGCTTTTCAGGTTTTTTAAGAAACCAATGTTGATGGTGTCAGTCTCACACGTTACAGTCCACGACAACACATCTGGGCACTTGCAGCTGGTAACTCTGAGGCTCGACCTACTCAAAATAATGTCTGTCCTTGTGATTCTCTTCCAAATAGCATCAGCATCCCACCATTTGTGGGTGGAGATTATTTCTGTGAGTCAGGAGCTAACTCTCGGTATGATAGTTCCACATTCTATTCAAATGCTGGGATGGTGAAGGCTGTGGTAGCAGCAGTAGCTGTTGCTCATAATTCAACAGTCCTCCATATATACTTCACTAAGACACTCCCCAACACCACAGACTGTGTCAAGGAAGATTTATACTCCAGTGGAGTTCATGGAACTTTATGGTGTAGCCACCTGGTATTGTTTGTGGAGCGATTCATGGCTCGTGAAGTGCCTTGGGTAACGGACAGACAGACACCTACAATAACCCTCGCTGCTCATGCGCGCCGATGGTTAATCGACGCAGTGGGTTGGAACGAGCGCGAGCAGTCCCGCGTGTAAACATTACGGTATGTTGCTGAGGGTTCAGACGCCTAGTGGGCTCGCTTCGCTCGCCTGCATTGTAAAATATGTGTAGGAGGAAGAGTGGGGTAAACGTCGCGAATGTGATGTGTGGGGGGCGCTAGCTACGGCCTGAGCTGCATGACGTCACCATCAGTAGTCTCGCTAGCCAGACCCTCACGCAAGGAGAGAGGGTCTGGTCAAACTGCTATTGTCGAGTTGTGATGTAAATACTCTTGGCGTAACTTCAGAGTGGTAGCGCTAGCTAAGATGGTGTACGGTTATACACAGCACGCGACACGCGCGTGCGTGCCCAACCGACTTAGGGACTGACCTACGCATGCGGTATATAGCACTGTCGGCGCGTGAAAAACTAATTGTGTCGAATGCGCTGGCACTCGCTCTCGGTATTCGGCCGGAGGCCGCCCCCGTCTACTATTATTGTGCGCGGTCCTCTAGGTGTGGAAAATGTTAGTGGTAAGCTACTCCCGGCCACGGCACCTGCTAGCTTCTCTGCTGTGTCTGTGTAGTTGGATTGCACTGACAGTGGAAGGTATGGTCTGTGACTCTGGATCGGCGGGAAGAATTTTAGCTCTAATTATAGTCGATCACCTCTGTTCTTAGACGACGACGAGTCATAGGAAACCACGCGGATTTAGGAGAGGCTGAGGCCCCGGGGCTGTGACGTTCCGAGCGCAGCGAGTAGATAGCCATCTCATGATGTGATGATATTGTGAAGATATTGATTATTCTTGTTACGATTCCTCTCCTCCAGTCACTGAGGTAACCGCATCGATTGAGGTGGAGCCTGGAACATCGACGTTCAGAGTGAGGTGTACCTCTACTGGTGGTAGAGCTCTCAACATGGCTGTCTCTGGACCTGATGGATACAACTCTGACATCACTCACGACATAGAGCCAGTTGGTAATCCAGAGTGATGACAGGTACACTGCCAGAACAGAAGTCATATCAAGTGGACTGGTTGGAGATGTATTCCAGTGCAATGTCACTAATTTTGCATCAAACATTAACAGTGTGACTTTGAGAGGTAAACACTGAATTTTGTGCAATGTGGACTGAGTCTTTTACATTATGCTACAGCTACTGTTTCAGCCATCACCCAACTAATCCAAACTGCTCTCACCACTGTCGTGGTGACGTGGACTCCACCACCAGAAGCCTTGGTGACTGAATATACAGTACGCTACCGTCTTGCCAGTGGTAATGGCAATGATGGGAATATTACTGTTAGTCAAGGCTCCGCCATCACTGATATCAATGATCTCACTAATGGAGAGACATACACCTTTTCAATTGAGGCTACTGCCAGCAACATGCTACCTGGAGTATCTGACGAGATGACTATTACACTGGGTGAGTGTACTAATTATATATCAGTTGCTATAATGTTGCCATTACCCCTATGGTGCAGATAGTTGTGAATCTGCTGATAGTCTCCAGTCATGTGGTTCAACTGGTATGATAGTTGGAGTGGTGATAGGCCTACTTGGTGTAGCAGTGGGTGTCTTTGGACTCATCGGTGCAGCAGTTATTGTCAAAAGACGCAGGTATCACCAGTGTCTTTATTACCCATTCAACCACTACGTTATGTTATACCGGCGTGCGCGCTCGTGCTACATAACCTTCTCGAACTTTCCCTGCACCCAATAATTTCCATAGAGTACGAGCAAATATGGTACTTTAACTGATTTTTATTGTACTTTACGTGGGCGGATCAAAGGTGCTTTATTAGTCACGCTGAGCAGAGGGGAGACACGACCACCTCCACCTCGTACCGGCTTCGTTCCTGGTCCTTGCTTTTGAATAACCCACGGTACAATTAAAGCACGAAAGGGACGTGCTATACGCTCAAAAAGGTGCTCGAGACTGGTCTGGATAGGCCATAATACCGCGTGCTTTATGACTATCTGGACCACACCCTCTTGTACCTTTAAATTCGCTTACAGCACTAGACTACCTCCCATGTTCCGTGCTTGAACTATTACGTAGCCATAACTGAACTCTATTTTCCCCAAGTGTGTGGTCCTACCTGGGCCTAACCACTAACTGTCTATGTTATCATAACTGCTATTATCTTTCCTTTGATGTTGTTTGGCTTCCAACTGACTACAATCTTTTACAGACCAGCTGTGTGCAAGGGAGAGGGAGATAAGACTACAGGGCCAATTAAGCTTATTGTGTAGCAGAGGGTGTCTCTGGACTCATCGGTGCTGTCAAAAGACACAGGTATATTATACAATATTTATTACCCATTCAGCCATGCTCTACTCTGTGTACAGACCAGCTGAGTCCAAGGAAGAGGGAGATATGACTACAGGGGCCAACCCAGCGTATGGTCCTCATGAGAAACAAGCAGAGATTGAAGAAGAGTATGAGATTCCTCAGTACACCCATCAACAATCTGGGGCCGAGGGGGATTACGAGGGTGTCTATTATGAGGGTGTCTATTCACATAACCCCTAGTACAGCTACTCAGTATAATGTACACTCGTGCACACATGTCATACAATTCGTATAATATACATTCATACACACTTTCCTCATGTAGTGGCATTTACTTTGAGTGGGCTAAAGTTTTCTGAGAACCCCTGAAACACATTGGAAAATGCCCTGGAGTTGATGTGAGGTTTTCTCGTAATGTTCTCCGTTTACTCTTAGCATGCGCATATTGCACCGGTGCACGGTTGTAAAAGCCCATCACGCACGTAGCGCGGCGGAAGTCTAATAGCCAGACCCTCCAGGAGAGGAGAGAGCGTCTGATCAAACTGCTGTATAAGAGTTGTGCCGCTTCAAAGCTTGACGTAACTTCAGCCTGGCTAAGTGGGTGCGATCAGAATATGCGTAACACACACAGCACACTAAAGGACAGACATACGCGCATGTGGTAGCACCCACTTATCGCGCCACCGAAAATCGGTGCTAATTGACGAACTCTAGTATAGCAGCGAATACTACACCAGCAGTGACATGAAACCCAGGAGGAAACAGAAAATGAAAACCGGAAAAGCGAAACGGAAGACGGGCAAGTGACCACTGACCAGTAACGGAAACAGGAAACGGGCAGGTGTTCTGCTCAGCATCACCAAAGTGAGTTTGACATCCCTTTTTAATCCGGCCGAATACTTTGATGAGCTAGCTGGTTAGCAAAGTAGCACAAAAACTCTCTATAGTAGGCGAATGCAGGGCATTTTTAGCGGGCGGGAGCGAGCACATAGTGATTGTATCTGCATGAGCCATCCTAGCCTATGTAAAACTTGCACTCTGGAGCCAAAAGAGGTACATAGCTATATACAGCCTCGGTCAGGCAGAGTGCAGCGAATGCCGGCGAATGGACGAGACGGTTCTCTGGCAGGCTAGATCGCGCATCGCAACGTTTAAAAATCTAAAGTGCAAACCCTCGGCAAACTCTGCATGCGCGATACTGTGGTCTTCCGCTAGTAGCTCGCAGAGAGTCTGACAAGGGCTAGTTGCAGTAGTAGATAGCATGCGGGCGTCGATACTCGTTGTGACTTCCTGAGCCCCCAAGGTACACAGGAGCGAGCGGATCAGGTCGCGGTAAGCCCAGTGCTAATATTTTCCGCTTGTTTTCACGGCATATCTCTCGAACGGAGTCTTTTCAAGAAAATCGCCCTTTTAGTTTTCAGGCTCGCGTAGTTCTTAAGCCGCTGGTATCGCTAATAGGCCGCCTCGTATGCTGTATA